TACTGATAGCATGTTGTTGGTATGATGTGATCAGTACTATGTATGTAAAGTCTGTACTTACAGCTACATGTAGTATCATAGTGTATAGTGAGTTCAGTGTTTGCTGTGTACTTATTTAGTATAATGTAGATATATCACAAGTGTGGATGGATTGTGCTGATAGCATGTTGTTGGTTTGATGTGATCAGTACTATGTATGTAAAGTCTGTACTTACAGCTAGTATCATAGTGTATGTGAGTTCAGTGTTTGCTGTGTACTTATTTAGTATAGTGTAGATATATCACAAGTGTGGATGGATTGTGCTGATAGCATGTTGGTATGTTGCGATCAGTACTATGTATGTAAAGTCTGTACTTACAGCTAGTATCATAGTGTATAGGGAGTTCAGTGTTTGCTGTGTACTTATTTAGTATAGTGTAGATATATCACTAGTGTGGATGGATTGTGCTGATAGCATGTTGTTGGTATTATGTGATCAGTACTATGTATGTAACTTCTTTACTTACAGCTAGTATCATAGTGTGTAGTGAGTTCAGTGTTTGCTGTGTACTTATTTAGTATAGGGTAGATATATTACAAGTGTGGATGGTCTGTGCTGATAGTTGGTGTCATATTGATGGTATGTTTAATTAGGGTTAGTCAGTTCAGTATAAAGTAGAATAATGCATTGACATATGAATTATGTTATAATGATTGTGTATATTAAACATATATGACTTTTTATGTAAAGCATTTCATAGTTCAATAATTTTAATAATCTGTCATATCAAAAAACATTTTTATTATGCCTCAAGATCCACAGTTTAAAATGGTCAATATGGCTATTCACATACATTGTTTATTATTGTCACTTTAGAAGATCATTTAACTGAAGGTGCCTCTTCATCAAAGAATCCAGCAAGAGAAACAGAATTGAGAGACATGATTTTTAATATTGCCAAGGAAATGGGGGAAGGTAAATTAATAATCACATTTACTTATCAACATGCTATTTTGTGATATCTTATGTCTGCCAAATATAAAACATCATTCACATTTTATATAAAGTATATTTAATTTAGTCACTTTATACATTACAAGATTGAGGGAGTCAACATTGAAATTTACCATGCTTATAATGACTTGTGTCACTTTTTACAGATGACTTGAAATCATTGAAAGAGCGATGTGATGTTTATCAGCTAATACCAAAGGGGGATTTAGAGAAAAACACAGATGCATATAAAGTGTTTGAATCTTTGCGTGAACAATCCAAAATCAGCATTGACAACACAAAGTTGTTAGAACAATTATTAAGGGATATAAAGAGGAAAGATCTGGTGGAGAAATTTGTATTGCCATTTACATCAAAGAAACAGTAAAGGTAAATATTGTCTGAAATTAGAATATTAGGTATTATTTTAATTTATTAAATCAATTACCCCATTGATCACTAATTTATATTTGTTTCTAGTTTTCAGATTTATAGAGGTGAATCAACTCATTGTGGAAGATGTGACTGGAGCCAAATTATCTGATTTATATTTATTTCTAGTTTTCAGATTTATGGAAGTGAATCAACTCATTGTGAAAGATGTGACTAGAGCCAAATTATCTGATTTATATTTATTTATAGTTTTCAGATTTATAGAAGTGAATCAACTCATTGTGAAAAATGTGACTAGAGCCAAATTATCTGATTTATATTTATTTATAGTTTTCAGATTTATTGAAGTGAATCAACTCATTGTGAAAGATGTGACTAGAGCAAAATTATCTTTTGTTGATTTATATGGTTGTTGACAAACAAGCACTGAAGATCTATTTGGATGGTTGAGAGCTGGAGCAGCACACTTCATCACTTAATTCTTGTTCCAGTGAGTTTATAATTACATCCAGCCAGTTTCCTGTCCATCTACAGTGATGTAAAATATAATGGCAGCTGTTGACTTATTACAAAACAAAATTAATTTGACCTCT